CCCAGCAGACGTCGTACACCTTCACGAGCAGCAGTGCATCTCAGTCTCAGACTCAGCAGAGCGAGGTGAGCAACTACTTTAACCGGCTGACAAACAGCTCGAGCTCGACGACCTACAAGGCCGGAAAGGTGACGGCCGCCGACGAGTCAGGCAGCGACGTGTCTATTCTACAATCCAGTGAGGCCGGCGTTGAAAAGACGTCCAGCGTTCAACAGCAAGACGACGAGACGGACGACACCAAGCAGGCAAGTACCAAGTCTGCGGTGGAGGCGTCGGGCACGAGTCCGGTCGTTGTCGCACTCATCGTCCTGGCCGTCGTGGGCGGCATCGCCCTGGCCGCCGTCGCGTACGTCGTCAAGAAGAAGAAGCTGGACGACAAACGGATCGACCGCGACGAAGCCATGATCCGGTCCTTCGACACGTTCAGCTCTCCCGTGGAAATCAACGCGACCAACATTGCCAAGATTTAAAGACACTTTTGCACTTATTCTTCAGAGTATACATGCAAATTGTGCAGTGGTTGCGTAAAGTGTACATCTCGACTTGTAGCGTTAAAAATGCGTTCATTTCGTTATTTTCCGTTTTGAAGGGGGGTCAGTGGCAATGGAACCGCTCCCGTTCGTACACTGCAGCATGTTATGAAATACAGCTCTGCTCTTGATATTCGTTGTGATTCTCTTGATCTCTCGGCACTTTTGCGATGCAGAAGAGAGGTCTACGCGCGATCGCGGCTCGAGTTTTCCTTGAAGTGTCCTGTTCAGCACGCCAGCGCTCTCTCTCTGACGCTATCGCACCCGAATAAGCTCCAGTGGGTTCAGCAACCTCTTGCATCTCCATTTCTTCACTGCAACGCAAAGGTCGGACCATGTTGCCATCCTGAAGATCAATCTATCGAATCGTCATGTTGAGTGAAGAGGAAGCTGAAGCAAAAATGACAATAGACACAAACGGCAGCCATTCATTTCAGAATGTGGCAAATTCTCACGGTTGCTCGTACGATTCACACGAAGAAATCACTGCCATCCCGTTGTCTACATGTGACTGTGAAGCTAGTGTGCGACAAGGTAGGTGGTCGATTCGACTACGTGTAGTTCCGCTTCAGAACGAGTGGCAAAACAATATAAGTGCCGTGATAAGCAATGGATTTACCAAGGAGGTTTGAGATTCTTAACAAAAAATGTTTTAAATAAGGTTAACCTTGCATGATAATGTTTGGTAATAATTGTAGAGGTTTGCTGCTACCTTTCATATAGTGATGTTTGCGATCACGGTTTCGCCAATAGGACAGACACATTGTTAATGGTGTCTCCTTGCAAGAGTCGTCGCAGATACAGCAACCGTCAACATTGTGGGGGTCACTGACATGAATTCCGAGATTACGAGGCCATCAGCCTGTCGTGGTGTCGACTGGAGCTCCATTGCAGCAATGAAGTATTCGAAACGACATACGAAGTGCGTACAGGTTGGAAACACCTCGCGCGGTTCCTGAAAAACGGATCCTGTCCTCGTCCTCTATCGATCTCCGTTGCCTCGTGTTCGACCTCCTCACTTTCACTTTCGACGTCAACCAGTAGCCACCACGACGAATATTATCAACGCAGCATGCATTCTGCTCTCCGTTTTCACCACGTTCTACTCGTAGCAGCCTTTGGTTCTGCGAGTGCCTACAGTGGCGAAGGAACAACGTACGGACTCACAGACCCGTCCGGTGGCAATTGCAACTTTATGGCCTACCCGAAGGCTGCGGTCTCCAGCTTCGTGGCTATCAACAAAGTTCAATGGGACGACTCCATGAGCTGTGGACGCTGCGCTCAAGTGACGTGCACCGATCCACAGTGCGCTGGTCGGTCACAGGAGTCAGCGATCGTGTACGTCGTCGACCAGTGTCCTGGTTGCAACGATGGCGACCTCGACCTGTCTCCGAACGTGTTCAAAGCGATCACTGGCATGGAACCCTCACGAGTTGAAATCTCTTGGGAGTTCGTGACGTGCCCTACGTCCGGGAACATCAAGTACTGCCTTAAAGAAGGTAGCAATGCGTTCTGGGCTGCGATTCAGCCAACGCATACTGCTGTTGGAGTGGATTCCGTCACTATTGATGGTAAACCGACATCTATGGTAGCGTCGTCCTTCTACTTTCTCCTGGACGGCGACAGCACCGAGAAATCGGATCTCTCCAACCTAAAAATCACCATGACCAGCGTCTCAGGTGAGACGATCGAGGATATACTGTCCTTCACGGATGGAAACTGTGTAGAAGGAAAATCGCAGTTCACGAAAGGTGAAAGCACAAGTGTCAGTATTTCAACGTTGTCTGAATTG